CCATACATGGTAACTCATTCCGGCTGCCTGCCTGGCTGGGCCACTCAATCCCGTCAGACCAGCTTTACCGTGCGAGACAACGCAAACAACCTGTGCTAATCTCACTGATTGTAAACAGTGTTACAGTATACAGTCGCCAACATGAATAAAGTGTACTTCTGCAGCTGCACAGACAAAAAAGTGTCCATATAAGCAGCACCTGTTGGTTATATAATTGTCTCACTGAATCTACAGGAAAGGAAAAAGGAGTAGGAGGTGGTAGGAGAGGAGGGTGAAAAGAAGTACAGTGATTCACATGGATTAGATCACCAATCAATAAATGATGATCAGTAAATGATTGTGGAAATGGGAGGAGGATGTGATTTCATACCTCTGTGTGTTTGGGAAAGCAACCATCTCTTTAAAAGGCCCTGGAGCAACACTGCATACCAACAACTGCAAGGATGATAGTTTCGACCTCATGGAAAGGCGTGGGAGCAGGAGCCTTTCTTCATCCTCATGATCGCTAAACACAGTGCTGGGTGTAGAGGAAGGGTGAAATGTGTGACCCCCCCATCCCCCCATCCCTCTTCTCCCTCAGCTGTCTTGGCAGTGCATCCCTTCTGCCCTTGAGAGTCACAGGCCACACAAGCTAATTAGACACCTGTCGGAGTCAAGTGCAGACAGCGAGGCTGGGAGGTTCATGGCAAACATTTTAGTTAGGGATGATGGTTTTGAAATCACTTTTAAAGCTCTAAAGGTAAACGTTGTCATTGCTAGAGTGGAGGTTAAACCAGAATTGACAATGAGCATGACTCATTGGCATGGTGACTATATATAGGCAGGATGAGTTGCCTCTTTTGGCTACTCTCCATCAAAGAGGCACCTAGGGGTTATGCCCTTCATCTCTTTTCTCTGGGGCTCATGCTCGTCCTCTGATGGGATCTAACCTTGAATGTGTTTTATGTTTGGCTTCGGCTCTTTTTAGCTCAAGGCGCCGGGTGATCATGGGGAAAATGTAATCCAGATTTCTCAAAGACCATCTATACTACCTGCCCTGTGCTCATAAACACATGATTTAAGAGCTTGTGCACATCATACATGTACAGCAGACATGCAGACACATGAATACACAAAGTAGCTCACAGCAACCTATGAGAAGAGAGCATTTGGGACAGTAATAACATAAGTTATAAGCACTGAGAAATCACGCTGACCGTTTTAAAGACAAGTCAGAACACGGTGCCTATACAGCAACCTGCTCTAACCTCGGGGCAAGAAGCAGCCTTATCTAGATTTCACTCAGTACCTTAAGAGTGTAAACTGATGAGAAAATGCATTTCCAGCCAATAAAGAGAAGCTGTGCCAGATTCTACCCTATCGGAACATTATGTCTTCTCAAATCTATATGTATGGGAGCGTATGCCTGTGCACTTACATGTCCTTGCTACATATTTGACTCATTTTTTTCCCCTTCTCTTATCAGAGCTCTTACCCTGTGTGGGAAGACTTCAGTGCCAAGGCCACAAAACTGCACTCTCAACTCAGGTGAGAAGTAGTTGAATGGTAAACCTCAATGAAAACAATTCTTGTGCAGTATATACAGACTCTTTAATGCAGTCACGAACATGTGCCAATGTATTTACAGGACCACAATTCTGGCAGCAGTGGCCTTTTTAGATGCCTTTCAGAAGGTAGCAGACATGGCTACCAACTCTAGAGGTAAGGGAGGGTTTTTTTCTAATTAATGAAATGACAAACTGTTGTGGGGTTAAGACTGGAAAAAATGTTCACCACCTTTTTTGAGCAACCTGATTTGTTGTCTTCATGAGATATTTCACACTGATTGTTTTCCTGATAGTTTTTACTTACTGAAGCCCGTTTCACACATGCACTGGAACACTGAAATTATCTAGACGTTACCCAGAGGAGCTTTATGGAGCTAGTGGGCATGTTGATGATGTTCTATAATGTGTCTGGTGCAAAACCGATAAAATACAAACATTTGATGGTAAAAAAAAGGTCATTTACACCGAAGATGCCAGTGAAAATACCTATCTAACAAGATGAAATTCAGGAACTTCAGTCATTAATAGCCAGCACCAGAGTTGGTAGCCACATTTAAGGAATGCCAAGAGACTCAGTTGTTTATGAACACATGACAAACTGGGTATATGATGGCATCATGTCCCGTTTCCTGCATACTCTATTCATGTGCGCCCCTCTGGACAAAGTCTAGAGCTGATTGAACAGGCCTAGTCTGGAGTTCATGTGTGAAAATGGCTTTAGGAATGCAGTTTGATCTGCACGTGCAGTTTGTGTCGAGCCAGTGTTTACAGCATTCAGTAAAAGACAAGGAATTATTATTCTTTCAAGTACATAAATGTTCTTTTTGATTTTAATTATGATAATGCAAGTCACACATCTTGTAAGACCAAAACTATTAGCAGTGGACAGGCAGTGTGCCAATTCCAAGACACATTTCTGCTGCTCTGTGATGGCCAAAGTGGGGGTCACAGTGGGAGAGAAGTGAAAATCTCAGCTTATTGTTTCTTCAGTCTTAATGAGGTCTGCTGATCAGCTTTGTCGCCCTGCTAACAGCAGCAGACAGGCTGGGCAAAGGAGCAGCTGATTAACATGGATTTCTTTGGAGTTGATCGTCAAAAGCAGTATGTCAATAAAACCCCCTGCAAACCAAAGTGAGCGTGCAGAGGCTCCTGATACTTGCACAAACATAATCGCACAAGCACAGAAGCACAAACACTCACAGATATTCAAAGAGCGACCTGACCTTACAGGTCACATACTTGCTTTTAAGCAGTTTGTGCTAGCACAGCCCCTTAATGACCACTTAAGGCCAGAGAAAATAACTGAAGAAGCATTTCATCAACAGCGTTCACACATTGTCGCAGGTTTTACTCCTGTAGCCTCTCCAGTAACAGTAAGAGTTTATTGCTGCAGGTTTACACCAAGGTTCCGTAAATGATTCCTGATGTGAATACACATGAGCTCTGCAGGATGAAGTAAGGTGGATTTGGGTCAAGCTGCTAACAGCTGTCAGCTCACTTCAATAAAGCAGAGGTATAGAGCAGGACAGGGCAGGACTTCAAAGGAGTGCGTCTGCAGTAAAATTAGGGAACACAGCACAGTGATAGATGGACCCAGAGAGGGGAGATAAGGGGCGAGTTGAGGTTTACTGCTATAGATGCATAAAATCCCTTTAAGTGTGTCACTCATACACCCAGTCACTCTTTTGTTCCTCTCCCAGGGACCAAGGGCCTAGATTTAGTCTCAGCATTGGTAGGGACAGCACCTGTTGGTTATATAATTGTCTCACTGAAGCTATATCAAAATATGAAACATTTGATGGTTGCAACATCTCAAATGTAAAGTTTTTCTGCCTTAATCTAGTTTATAATTGTAAACCAGAAGCTATTTGTAGCCATGTTTGTCACATGTCTCTATGGAAGCCAGGGTTGGTCGGTTCACCATGTTGGTTCACACTGAACTACAGTATCTCAACAACTACTGGATGGATTGCCATAAAATTTGGTTCAGGTATCCATGGTACCCAGAGAATAAACCCTACTATTACACTGAATGTGGTGATCAGAGGATCACCACATTCAGTGTTTCTTAAATTCCAACAATTATTTCATTTAAAAGAGAGCGTGTGAACTGTGTTGTACTTTGGATGCTCCTAACCCTAGCAATTAATTTGGCAGGAGGAATGTCGATATTCAGTTGAGCTGCCTTGTGGGTGGAGTGTGATAACATCTGAACTCAGTGCTACAAGCTCTGTGCAAAAGGTTTTAGCAAATGTACCCTTGTGGAATTGTGATATTAAAAGTAGCCATCTTAGAATAAAGTGGCATCCAGATGTTCCACTCTTCCCACTTGGTTGTCCGATTACTAGCCAGATAGAATAGAATTCAGAGATCACCTGCTCATCATTTTGTAGGTCTCTGTTTCTGTCTCTTGGCTCCCCATTTTAAAGTCCATCTTCCTTTGGGTATGTGAGTCTGCCTGCCTGCAGCGATCAAGTTTGCCTCAGCGTTTACACAGCCATATAGGGCTGATCGCACCACAGGGGGCTGGCCCTCGGCTATGAGCTGTTGGCCGTCATCGCTTTTGCCCCGATTCCTCTCTTGTATTGAGGGATGAGCTACAGCTGCTGGCACAGCTGGAGGTTTCATCGTTTACTTCTTCTGCTTCCTTTAATCTACCTATGACACACTCACCCCTTCACCTCTTTAATTCGCACACAGACTTTCCAGACTGTACACGTTGCCCTGCCAAGAAAAACATTTCCCCTCATTCTGTGCCTCTTGGTGGATTCAGGGAGAGAGGATGCTGAATGAAAGAGGATTTTATGATTTCCTGTCCTGATGTTTGTGTGATCGTTTACTTGGAGGTCAGCGTTTTATAGATGCCCATAATAACCATTTTATATTTGGGATCGTCCCCTCTATTTCCATCTCATGCAACCCCCTCTCTGTGTCTGCCGTGGTCTGTGTTCATGTTCAGACTGCCTCTTGCCTGTGTTCTCCATTTTTAGAGTTTATGAAGCAGCTGGGGGAGTTGGCTGTCACGTGTTTTGGCTGTGTGTCTGACAGCGCTCTTTCTCTAAGCTGTGTTGTTGGAGCTATGTCTGCCTTAGTGAACTGGCAGCTTGCGTCTGGGTTCAGTAAAGGTCTCTGCAACAACCAAGTCTGTATTAGATGGACATATTGGAGAATTTTAGGTTTAAACACCCAGTCTTTCCTGCGACTTAGTTTAAGGTCCCGTTGCCCTCTCGATTATTATTATAGCAGTCAGCATAATGGTTTTTTGTGTGTTATCTAGATCATGTTTGTCATTCACATTAAATTGTTGTGTGATATATTTAAGTGAACCAGATGTATCTGGAGGCTGGTGTTTTGGTGTTATGATAGATGGCATGTTTTAGATGGGGGGGATTTCCACAGCTCTGGTTATCCAGACTAGGCAGAGGCGTTTAGCTAATCCTCTTAGCCCCACTCTGTAACACACAACAAACACAGGTTGTTCTCCCTTCCTGATCAGCCAACCCCAGCTTTAAAAAGTCACGCTCTGGCAACACCAGCCAGAGTGCCATATGCTGCAAGTTTGGCTTCAACACAGACAAAACCATTTCTCTCTTTACACAGGTGTGTATGGGCCTGTAGAGTACACACACTATTACACACAGACATAATGTTCCAGTGGATCTCTTTCTTTACTTTTTTTACTCATACAGTCTATACCCAGTGGAGGTATGCTAGTAGTAGTATGAATAAAGAGTGAATATCTCTACCCACCATCTGGACGACCTGGCGCAGGTGAGACGTGGCCATGGCCTTGTGCAAAGTGAGATCAGGGGATTACAGTCTTCCACACCATCCCAGCAGTGCAGCTATTTCTACAGACATGCCAAATAATGAGAGTGTGCCCATGTGGCTGACACTGACATCCATTAAGCTGGGCATTTTATGTTCACATCTGATATGAGCATGTATTGCACTCTGTGTACCAGACCAAGAAGGTTAGACCTGCACCTTGTTTGCATTAACTTCATAAAATGAGCATACAGATTTTAAATGTTTTAGATTTGACATGCATGTACATGTAGTCACGCCGATGACTGCACTAGCTGATGCATTATTGCCTGCTGATTGTAGACTGGGCTCTTCAGGTGTTTCGTATCCTTTAGCTACGAGGTCTCTCTTGGGGTTTTACAGGCTACAACCCCAGAACTCAGTGTGGTTATCCCACAAATGAATGTTTTGCAGCTATAAATACAAAACGTAAAGGGTGAAGTGGCTGGAACAATAATGTGAAAAACAGATGGAAAATCAGGAATAATAATGGGAAAGAAAAATCGTTTGGCTCTGTGTAGCTTTCATTCATACCAGACTAAGCAGACAAACATGAGACATGAGGGGAACACTGTGTTCATCTAGACCCTGAACACAAAGTCAGCATGGAAGGGAGCTGGAGAGGGGAGGGAAAATGCACACGAGAGAGAGCCTGACAGAGGAATGTCAGGGAGGGTATTAAAACAGGGAAGGAAAGGGATACATGCATATTTTCAAGTGTAATCAGCTGAGGTGGCTGACAGGGTGGCATCAACACTGCAGCATGGAAGAACTCCCAAAAGTAGATAAATAAATGAACAAGCAAGCAAACAAATTAATTAATTAATAAGAAATAGAAGTTGTAGTTTGAAAATAGATGGATTTATGGTTCAATGTTAATGTGGACAAATGACAGATTGGTACTTATATTTGATGGTATTTTAGGAAGACTTGCAAATGTTTCAGTAAAACTGTTTTGAGAAAAATATCAGTCATCTCACATGGAACAAATGTATTATGTGAGCAAAAAGTCCTTTATATTTAATGTCTAAGCTCAGACCTTAGGCGTATACCAAGATCAATGCAGAGAGTAACTTTAGACTCAGAAGGTGTATCCCACTTCTCCTACTTGCCCTTTTCCATGCAAGGACAAACAGTAAGAAAAGAGGAACCGAGGAAGCATGTTTAAATTGACCCTTTATGTGATGCGTCTGATCGCAAACTGATTTCCAGTAAAGGGGCGTGTCCATCTGCAACAGACTTCCGCGGAGGATGCTCCTCCAGGCAGCCTCACTTCTCAGAGCAGAAATAAGAGCTTTGGGACATCATTCATCATGGTGGACTGGAATGACTTCTGGGTCAAATGAA